GGGGGGTTCTGGCAGAGGGCCCCAGAGGAGGTGGGCTCAGCATCCAGTGCGGGGCCGGACACCCCAGGGCTGTGGGCACTGTTGGCTGAGTGGGGGCAGGGGGCGGGGCAGGGCAGGGTAGCAGGGCTCCTGGCCAGCACTGGGGCTGTGGGTTTTCATTTGCCAAGGTGGTGATGTCAGCTGGGTGGGGGTGTATTTTATTAGCCTCCACTTCCCTGGTTTAGGTGTGAAGGGGTCTGGGCAGGATAGGGGCTGCAGGAGTGAGCAGGGCCGGGGGCGGATGTGAGGCCAATGTGAGGCTGCAGGGGGTGTGAGAATTTGGGGTGGGGGGGCACTGTGGGCCCGGTGGCTCCTTCCTGCATGGGGAAGGCAGCCCCGAGCCCCGGCAGGGAGGCCGATGGGCAGCCACACTGACATTTCTGTGGCTGCTCATCTCCGCCTGTGGGGGAGGGGCCCCTGTGTTCACCCCTGCCCCTCCGGGCCTGCAGGCCTGAGAGTCCTCCGCGGGAGCAGCATGTTGACTCAGCTACAGCCTTGACCTTGACCCTCAGCCTGGTGTCCGGCTGAGGTCCTTCTGCTCCCCAGAATGTGTCCTTGGCCCCAGTCTGCACCCCCCACCAGCAACTCAGGCCAGCCCAGCTTTGCTCTCAACCCCGTCTCTCAACCCCCGTCGGTCCGCCAGGGTGTCCCGAATTGACCCTTCTCATGGTCCTCAGCCTCTAGCAGCTCCATGCACTGCTGTCCTGAAGGCAGCTTCACTGACCACTGTCACCCAGTCAGAAGGACCCTGTTATGCCCTTGGTCAGGTCATGTGGCTCCAGCCCTCCCAGAGTGAGCATGTCACCCGCTCCCCTCCCCTGTGCCACCTGTCCCACGCCCCTCCTCCCTGCACTCCTGCGTCCTGCCTCCAACCAGGCCCCCAGATCCAGTGGGAGTGCCACCCGGTGCCCCTGCCCTCCTGTCCCTCCTCAGGACACAGTCTCCCGGCCCCACGCAGCAGCCCTACCTGCTGTGTCTCATCTCCTGAGGGCTTTCTTTCTCACCTCCTTCCCATGGCCTGAGCGCTGGCTCCTCGGGGGAACGGCCCTGTCTGCTCATTCACCCCTCCGCTCACAGCACCCAGACCCGCGCCCACACGGGGCGGCCACTCAGTCAGCATTTGTTGGATGGAGAGAAATCACCATCCACGCCTCGGCCTCCAGGAGCTGGGCATCGGTGGCAGCTCCAGCTGGAGCTCAGTGTGTTCGGCCCTCTCTTAAGACACCCAGACCACTGCTGCCCGCTCCCCCTCCTCCATCCCCACGGGACTCCTGGTAGAGGCGGGTGAGGCTGGCTGGGCTCTGGTTCATATGTCCCTTCTCCAGCCAAAACGGGGGCAGGAGTGGGAAAGTGTCCCCTGCTCCCCGCTCCTGCCCCAAGACTCTCACATGTAATCGCTTAGGCTGCTAAAGTCCTGGAGGACACTTGAGAGGCTGTCACGCAAGCCTCGCCTCCTCAGCTCTGAGCTGGCTGAGAAATAGACACTGGAGTTGGAAAGGGGAGAAGAGAAGCCTTTTATGTCCAGCAAGCCCGGGCTGGGGGCTGACTCCGACCCCCCAACCCCCCCACGGCCCTACCCTCCACCCCCACCCTCTGCCAGCTGCTTGCTGCCCCAGGCCCAAGTCTGCCCTACAGGCAGGTTCTCCCACCGCTGGAGGGTCAGGGCAGCAGTGGGACAGAGAGGCTTCCCTCCTGGTGGCTCCAGTTGTCCAGAGCAGCCTCAAGGGTGGGAGGCAGGAGGAAGGGCTTCCTGGAGGAGGCACCGGGGGCCCGACTGCTGTGGACTGCCTGTGTGTCCGTGCTGGGTCAGGCGGAGGGAGGCTAGGGCCCTGCAGGCTCACTGGTACTGGTTGGAGGTGGACGCGGTGTTGCAGCGGCTGCGGGACATGTCCTCGTACACCACGCACACCGGGCTCTTGTCCTTTGCACAGCAGAGTCTCTGGACCTGAAAGAAAGCCGGAGGTCTCCCGCTGGGGCTGCTGGCTCTGGGGCACCCTCTGTCTTCAAGACACATTCCCTTAGGAAGCTTTCAGATTTCTGGGGGGCCTGGGTGAAGCCAGGTCATGAGGGGCCTCGGCCAGCCCCCCAGGTCTCTGAACTGCTCAGGCCTGGGCGAGGGGGCAGGCCAGGCTGGGGGGCAGCAGCCGGGAGGTAGAGGGTGGAAGTGACTCAGTCTCCTGGCCCTGGACAAGGAAAGGCCCCGCTGGCACAGAGAACGAGGAGCTGGAGGCGAGCGGTGGAGGAGGGGGCCACAGCCGAGGGACCCGGGCAGAGCTGACTGCTTCCCGGCCTGTCTCCCTTAGCCCTCCCATCCCATCCCACCTCCAGCACACACTTGCCCACAGATTACATCCCCACTGGCCTCACACTTGCACTCACATGCACACTTGCATATGCACACACATGCACACGGGCTCACACACGCGCCCTCCTTCCCTCCCTGCTTTCTGAGAGGAGCCGGCTTACAGGGATCAGGCGGCATCTGAAGGTCACACTGACCTGTGTCCTCAGCACACACACAGCCCCCAGCCCCAGCCCGACGAGGAAGAAGCCCACAGCCAGGGCGATCGGGAGGGCGAAGCGCATCAGCTGAGCCTCCTGGCACGTGTCCACTGCCTGGGGCAGTTTGTCTGGCAGAAGGAACAGAGAGAGGCCTTTGGCAGATGGGGAAGTTCATGAGAGCCTTCGGGGCTCAGGACAGGGCAGGGCTCTGGAGAGTGTGTGTGTGTGTGTGTGTGTGTGTGTGTGAATCCAGGAGGCCTGAAGAGGGGGTGGCTTGAGCTGGAAGGAACAACTCAAGTGAGTTTGGAGGGAAGGTCCCCAGACAGGGGCACGGTGGCCGGGCTGCCCAGCAGGGAGGCGGAGTGGTCCCAGGGGTGGCACAGTCCCTACCTGTCACCACGACCAAGGTGCCAGGGCCCCAGACCTCGTCGCCCATGATGGCCTGGCAGGCGTAGGCACCGGAGTCTGCCAGCTGCAGACGGTGCACGCTGATCGTTAGGTTGTGCTGCAGCCCCGAGAAGGTGATGCGGCCCCGGAACCGCTTGTCCACGGTGGGCTCCCTCTTGTCTTCGTAGTAAATCACATTGCTGGGCTCGGGCCACCTTTGCTTCAGGTAGATGCCGAGCAGGGGCCCAGGGGTGGTGCAGGTGATGCTGATGGAGCCCCCCTCCACCGCGACCGTGTAGCGGGGGGACTGCCGCACCTCTGTGAGGAGGACGTGCCGCTGTCACCACTGGCTCGGCCAGAGGGGCAGGGACCCTCCTCTGGTCAGGGCACGGTGGCAGGGTGGAGGCCCCTTGAGACAGTCCACTGCCACATGTCACCACGGATGGGTCACCTCTCGGAAGCCTGGGAGCAGCTCATGGTGCCAGCACCCCAGGCTGTCCTCGCGTTCTGAAGGGCCCTGGGGGTCGGGGGATGTCGGCGCTGGGGCCTCTTCCGTCCAAAGCGGTGAGCCCTTCGCTGAGAGCTCCGACCACTCTCCCCAGCGCTACACCTTTCCCCTCTTAAATGACAGCTCTGGGGAGAGCCAGGGGCACCGTCCTGTTGGCCTCTCTCCTCCCAACGCTGACTGCCTCGGTTTCCTCCCACTTACAGGCACCTGAAGCCAGTGGCTCTATGGGGGAGGTACATCCTGGCTTGCCTGTGGGACACCCAGAAAGGGCCCTGGTCTGCCCAGCCAGGACCAGGAGCCGGCTTCTTGGTGCGAACATAATCTAAACACCAGCTTCTCAGCAAACGAAGTCCTGCAGCTCTTTCTGCAGGGAGGGGCACGAGGACTGTGCCTGCCGAGCCCCTCATCCCACCTTCGGAACTGCTCTCTACCTTTCACTGCAGAACTTCCTGCCAAAGGCAAACGTTCTCGCAGGACGAGGCTGCTTTGCTGGTTGGAGAAGGGAAAGCCCCCAGACATGCAGGTAAAGAGATTCAATCTCGGGGCTTCCGCAGCCAGACACCAGCAACGGCCCTGGTGCCGCTTGTTTTGGGACTTGTGTCCAAGTGTCCAAGGCCAGGCCTGACCTCTGGAGGGGCTGCTCCGAGAGCAGGTCACGCTCGGCATCCCGGACCACCTGCTGTCTGGGAAGGAGCGTCTTGGGGGTGGGGGGCTGCCAGGGTGGAAGCACTAAACTCGCTATGGGCAGTGCGGCAGGGGACAGGGTGAGGGACAGTCAGGAAGGGCTTACCTTGGGCAGCCAGGTTGCAGGCAAGCACCAGGAGTAAGGGGAGCTGGGGGAGCCCCAGGAGCCTGGCCATACTCACTGCTGGGGGCAAAGGGCAGGGCCCCCTTTCATGGGGCTGTCGAGACTCTTCCTGTCTGCAGTACCCAATCGCGTGGCACCACCTGTAGGCGGTGCGTGAGTGAGGGGAGGGCTGGGGGGGAGGGAGGGTCGGCCGTCATTCCCCTCCCCCGCCCCTGCCCATCCTGCTGAGCGCCCACAGGTGGACCCCGGCCCACAGGTGGGCCCCTGCCGCCTCTGCAGAGTGCCCATCAGGGAGAAGAGAGGAAGGGGAGGCTGGGGGTGGTGACCAGGAGAAATGCGAGGGGGCCCCTGCCCAGCTGAGGCGGGAGGTCAGGCTCCAGCCGCCCTGCCCTCTGGTTTACTTTCTGTTGAGACCTGATTTATGCCCAGAAACTTGGAGTAAGTTAGCCCCACAGCATGGGGGCTGCGGGTGGCCACACGGAGCCCCGCTTCCGTGCAACCGTAGAGAGGGGGCCAGGCACGTGCCTCAGGATTCGGCTGTGCTGTAGGAGCAAGCGGCTTCCGATTCTGTTTCCTGTGGATGCAGGGGCCGGAGGCAGCTCAGCCAAACCACGTGATCAGCCCCCAGGGCAGAGGGAGACCCATGCTGGGCCCCTGACCCCGGGGGCACGGAGGTCCCTGGGAGAGAGACCTACTCTGGGGAACCAGGAGGTGCACTGCTCTGTCCCCAGGGCTGCCATGGGTCAGATGGCCAAGACTGGCGCGTTGGGGCCCAAAGCCACGTGTGGGTGTGTGCACAGCTCACACGTGGACCTGCAGTCCTGAGCTGTTTCCTCCCTGGAAGGTCCTCCATTGGCCAGGTTGCTCCTGTCTGCTGATGGCTGGGGGTCCTGGGACGTGGGTGGGGTTTGGGGGTGGGGCTGTTCAGGTCTGAGGGGCTGACAGCCTCAGGCAGGGGCTGCTCTCTTGCCCGCAGATCCTCCTTGTGTGAGGGACGTATCTGTTTGAGAGGGAATCTTGCCAAAGGCCCCGAGGGTCCTTGCAGGTTGCTGGCAGGAGGTGATGAAAGTACAGGGCTTGAGGAAAGAAGGGCCTTCCTAATCTCATTCTTTGTTCATCACCAACACCCCGGGTGCCTGTAGTGCCACCCCTGTGCCGGGAGCAGAGGGTAGAACGGACAAGAGGCCAGGGGCCTGGACTGGCCTCCAGAAACAAGTGGACCTAGGGCAGGATGCGCAGTGTATCAGGGGAGGGGGCTGAACTTAAAGGAGCCATAGGAGTAAAGGACTGAGGAGGTGAGGGAGGGTCATGTGGTACCTGGGAACAGTGTTCCAAGCAGAGGGATCAGAGGTGCATGATCCCTGAGGCCAGAAAGTGCCTGGTGTGCCTAAGAGTCTGCAGGGGCTCAGTGTGGCTGAGAAGGGGGTATGGAAATGGGAGGCAGGGTCTCTAGAGCATTACACGGACCCAGAACTAAACTCCTTTTAGAGAAATCCTTGAAAATACAGATAAGCAACAAGTAGAAGATAAAATTAGTCAAAGACCTAGACTCAGCATTTCCTTCGAGGTTTCCTGCCTAGATGTGTCCAGTGACTTCTGTGAGCACCCCCCACAACATCAATGTTAAAATGACCTTTGATGTGACTTCAAGTGCATCAACACTTCCCGTCCGATTCAGGCAAAATGGAATAGATTTCCACGGCCCTGGAAGCATAGAGGTCCCAGGTGCCGAGCCCGTGGTGTCTGCCGGGCCTGGCCCAGCAATCCCACGGCAGGAACCTCACCCTCACTCAAGAGACGCAAGTGCAGCCCATCCTGGACCTGGAGCCAGGCACTGGCCAAGCCGTGCCTGTCCGCCTGCGAGGCCGTGGTCACAGGCACCGGCAAGGTCTCCGGTGTGGGGTCCTTCGTGGTGAGCCAGGCCCGCCAGACACCTGCGTCTCCAGACGCCTCAGGACTTTTTGGGGCTTTAAGACTCGAAGCAGCTTCTGGCAGATTTTTATTTTTCCCATTTGAAAGTGTGTTTCTCTGCTCAGTTCGTGATTTGCTCATTGGTTTAGTTTGCTCAGCCTAAGGGCTGGTGTTATGGATGTTTGTAACGCACTTGAAAGCAGCACTTCCAGAAGAATCCTCTCTTTTATCACCCTATAGGTACCTTTTAAGAATATGCTCAGTAGAGTTACATAGTTTTGATTATGAAGATATCTGGCATCAGCAGATTTGGGACCTGGAAGGGCCAGCAGGCAGGTGGGGCGGCGTGGGGGAAGGAGCTCCGCGGGAGACGTGGGGGGAGGTGGGCGCAGATCGCGCCAGCAGCTATCCATCGGCCCGGCTTCCAGCGGGGCTCCTGCAGCCAAAGGCTGCTGCACCCTCGAGCGGTGGCAGTGGGGCCAAGCCGCCCTCTCACGCCCCGAACCCCTGCATCTTGGCCCCACAGCTGCTGGCAGGAGGGTCCCCAAAGCTTGCTCTTGCTCATAGTCCAAAGACAGGAGTGTGTCCGCAATCACCCTGAGATGCCAGAACGCCAGGCTAGAGTGTCTCCGAGGTGACTGTGGGGTCCAGACACCTGGCAGATTCCTGCTCTGAGGCCCCTCTGCTCCAAAGCCCCACAGGTGCCCAGCTGCTGCCCTTAAAGATAACAGAGAACGCTGCTTTCCTAACATGCCTGCCTTAGCCAAGAGAACGACCGTCTTCACGATGCCCGGACGCCTGGCCACCAGGGCCGGTCATAGCCCCCTACAAAAATCACACCCCCTTACCAAAATTCCTGGCTCTACCCTTCCACGCCCCACTCCCTTCCCTGCCACTTGAACATCAACCGGTCAGAGAACTGTGCACGAGCTGATCACACATGTTGTGACCCCTTGGTACCTGGTGTGACCCTCCCTGATAAAAGGCCTGGGCAACCGGAGCTCAGGGCTCCCACGGGCACCCCAGTCTGTGTGGCCCGCTGCAATCTATGGCAGCGTGCCTGCTAAACTCCTTTCCTGCTTTCATCCTTGTCTTTGGTAAATTTTTTTTTACCACCCAAGCCCACAGCAGTCACAGCAGCAGCATGGCCCTCCTGTCCCAAGGAGGAGCCAGGCCCCCAGGGGCGGGAGAGGGTCCTATTGGGTCCAGTGCTTTGGAACGTGAGATTTGTGCAGTTCTGGCCACAGGAGCTGCTGCAGAACCCTCCGTGGCGTGTCAGGGAGAGGCCGGGGATGCTTTAGGCCTCCCCGTCTCTCCCTGGTCCTCCCCTCCCCTCCCCCCTCGGTGCTGCACAGTGCAGAGTCCAGGGCCTCCTTATCTGGGGAGGGAGTGAGGGACAAGAGCTGCACACAGACACCTGTGCCTACAGACGCACAGGCTCACCTGCAGACACCCCACCACCCACACTGCCTAGGTCCAGCCCCACCCCCACCCCGCCCTGCTGTCCTCCAGGGTGTCCTGGAGACGGTGGGGACCTGGCAGCCTGGCTGGGAGCTGGTACCTGCAGGAGCTTGTAGAGCTTCAGGGCACCATGCCTTCTGCGCCAGGCCCTCATGCAGGCCAGCAGGACGACCGGGACGACCAGGGCGACCAGGGTGACCAGGGCGACCAGGGCAAGGATGATGAGAACCACCTGGCCTGTGCCCTCAGGATCAGTCCTGAGCTCCGTGAGCAGCGTCTCAGGGCCTGTGGGGAGTGGGCGGGGCCTCCACCAGCTGCTCACTCACAGGAGCCACCGCTCCCTCGGGGCACCCTCAAGGGGGCATCATCTCCGCCAGGAAGCCCAGGGGCAGGAGAGTGGGGGGAGGGGGTGCACAGGCTGGGCACGGGTGCCAGGCACAGAGGGCGGGAGTGTCAGGGGAAGACCCGAGGGGGCTTCCTAGTGGGCACCTGGGCGCTGGCCCCTCTTCTGTACCCCAGGATAAAGACAGAAACACCTACCGTAGGAAGGTGTGAAGAATGTGTCTTGGGGCTCTGCCAAAGAGACATACCGGGCCAGTTAGGGAGTGCCTGCCCAGGGTCAGCCCTGACGCAGCCCCTCCGCCCCAGGTGTCAGATGAGCCCTGGATACAGGAGTGTGAAGGCCTCACTGGGGTCCCTTCCCAGGGCCCAGCCAGGCTGGGGTGCCCTTCTCAGCCCCTCCTACTGCCCCTGGTTTCCAGAGCTCAGGGCAACCATGACTGCATTGGAACCAGGTGGGGGCAGGCAGAGAGCCAGGGGTGGTGGAGACCGGGGGCGTTTGGCAGCAAAGGAAGGAGGGAGGGGAGGAGGTTTGGAGGGAGGGAAGGGCCCGGCGGTCTGTGCAGACATGGGAGGGGGCCCAGGGCATGCGTACAGGGGCTGTCCCAGGGAGAAGCCAGAGGGGCACAGACGTTGCGGGGGGTGGGGGCTGCTGCTCTCTGCGGACCCTTCCCCTGGCTCTGGGCGCGCCAGGTGAGCAGGAGCTCCTCCTCCCTGGCTGCAGCCCCAGCCCCTCCCCTCACCTGAGACGTTCAGGGTGGTGATTTCAGAGTTTCTCTGGTTTCCCGTAAGAATCCAGCGGTACCGCCCTGCCTGGGTGTCCTGGGCCTTTTCAATCACCAGCTGCGCCTGGCCTCCTTGAACCCAGAGCCGCCACCCATCCCGGGAGAAGTCTCCTGGGGCCGGCTCACTGAACACCAGCTGCCGGCTCTCCCCACGGTAGGTGCACAGGGTGATGGTGATGTGGGAGAAGGGGTTGGAGATGTTGCAGGCCATCACAGCTGGCTCACCCCTGAACACAGAAACCACGCCTTCGGTGCAGCTGGGGCTGTCCCACTCTGTGTGGGGGGCAGTGGCACATGTGGGGCCTGGCTGGGCCTCAGGGTGCTCACTGACGGCCCCCTCTGGGGTCCCTGACATTGCCTGGGGCCTGGGCCCCCCCCCGGAGTCCCTGACATTGCCTGGGGCCTGGGCCCTCCCTGGCCTGACCTAGGTCTCTCCTCCCCCTACAGCCTCCCCCACCCGACGGGGGACGGCCCCTGGCCGA